CAATTAATCGAATCGAATCGTATCGTGGTGTATTCTTGAGTATCGAAAATAATCGAATCGTCGGGTCAGGAAATCGATACTGAATCGAATCGCCATGATGGATGTGATTTACACCCCTAGTAGGAAGGACGCCAAAAACATCTTTCTTTTCAACAAATGCCTTGGTTCGCATTTCTCTGTTCCTCTTTTAAAATTAATTTGCTGTCGATATCTTCTAGAACAGACCCAATAGCAGAATCTACACACCACAACTCTCCAGCGGCAGCCATTGTTGTTGTCACCCAAGCGCGCTTTGGTGATGTGGTTGATTACGTTACTGTTGATCATCTGTCCATCATCCTATAAAGCCCGCCCTGACAATTTGATTGGCCCGACCAGATATTGTGCGAGCATACTCGCGCTATTATTGAGCAATGCCAGACCGAACTTCCCGACCTCAAACGTTGTGGGCGGGACTAAGTTCAGAATGGCACTCAGGCTAAGACACATCTGCAATCAACAACAATTATTGAAGATTTCCAGAGGACTTCACCATTGAAATTCACCAGAGCTATAGTGAAACTGACAATGCCCACGTGCATGGCAGCTGGATGCTGGAATACATCGGGTAAAAGTGAAAATAAATTTCTTATTACACCTTTGCTATTCGTGATTGGGTTGGTCGTTGGATTGCCAACTTGAAGAGGGAGGATTTGCCATCGAACTTCTGGCCAGAGAAAAAACCCGTAATATGTAGCCAACATTTGGAAGAAGAATGTTTTCAAGATGACTTGGATAATAGCGCGTTGTGACAAACACCAGATACAGCACTGGGACTTGATCAACAGCCGATACCGCACCGTGACGTCACAAACCAGTAGGTGGCAGTGGTGTTCTTTGACAAACATGGATGCCTCCAGTAAAGCACATTCAGAGGAAAATTACTCTGAATTAAAAACACTTATGATTTATTGAACAGTATTTAATAATTTCATATTTAAAGTACTTTCAGAAGTTTAAATTCTAAATGTGACCAGACTTCTACTTTAAAGAGGATTGAAAGGCCAAAAAATGTGAGTTTGCTGAAAGGGGCCAGGGTGCTGCAGCAAGAGCGACCTCTGCTGGGCAAAAAGCTTACAGCACCTGGTATTCCCAGGCGGTCTCCCATCCAAGTACTAATCAGGCCCGACCCTGCTTAGCTTCCGAGATCAGACGAGATCGGGCGTGTTCAGGGTGGTATGGCCGTAAGCTGCTGGTGCTCAGCCAAGCAGCCTATTTCTACAGCATAGAGCAGCACGCTGGATTTTTCTTTCTAGCTTTGCTCTTTTCACCTGCTGCTTTTGTGGTTGGACTCGGTACTGCACCAACTTTTTGTTCTCCACATACCAAAAGAAATTGTTTTTTTAAGATGATGTACAGTTAATTTTGAAACTGTTACCATTCGTTACAAATAAGAATTCTGACTTTAATCTCAAAATTTTGGATCTTAATGTAGATGGGCACCATGAAGGAAGAGATGTGGAGCACTCAGCTTCACTGACAAAGATGTGAGTTGTTTGAGGTGGCCAGTGACACATTGGTGGAAAATGACGGAATTAGGCAACTTTTTACGTGCCTGAGGGGCCCCCTCATTAATGGAGGAGCAGAAGGTCATTAAAACAAGAGAGCTAGTCTCTAAAACAGACATGGCTATGGCTTGATGCTAACATGTTTGTTAGCTGTCAGAATTCTGAGAAAAAAGTTAGAATTCTGAGAATAAAGTCAAAATGCTGAGAAAAAAGTCAAAATGCTGAGAAAAAAGTCAGAATTCTGAGATTAAAGTCAGAATTCTGAGAAAAATGTCAGAATTCTGAGATTAAAGTCACATTTCTGAGATTAAAGTCAGATTTCTGAGATTAAAGTCAGAATTCTGAGAAAAATGTCAGAATTCTGAGATTAAAGTCACATTTCTGAGATTAAAGTCAGAATTCTGAGAAAAAAGTTGGAATTCTGAGAATAAAGTCTGAATTCTGAGAAAAAAAGTCACATTTCTGAGATTAAAGTGAGAATTCTGAGAAAAAAGTCAGAATTCTGAGATTAAAGTCAGAATTCTGAGAAAAAAGTCAGAATTCTGAGATTAAACTCAGAATTCTGAGATCAAAGTCAGAATTCAGAGATTAAAGTCAGAATTCTAAGAAAAAAGTCAGAATTCTGAGATTAAAGTCAGAATTCTGAGAAAAAAGTCAGAATTCTGAGATTAAAGTCAGAATTCTGAGAAAAAAGTCAGAATTCTGAGATTAAAGTCAGAATTCTGAGAAAAAAGTCAGAATTCTGAGATTAAAGTAAGAATTCTGAGATCAAAGTCAGAATTAAGAGATTAAAGTCAGAATTCTGAGAAAAAAGTCACATTTCTGAGATTAAAGTGAGAATTCTGAGAAAAAAGTCAGAATTCTGAGATTAAAGTCAGAATTCTGAGAAAAAAGTCAGAATTCTGAGATTAAACTCAGAATTCTGAGATCAAAGTCAGAATTCAGAGATTAAAGTCAGAATTCTAAGAAAAAAGTCAGAATTCTGAGATTAAAGTCAGAATTCTGAGAAAAAAGTCAGAATTCTGAGATTAAAGTCAGAATTCTGAGAAAAAAGTCAGAATTCTGAGATTAAAGTCAGAATTCTGAGAAAAAAGTCAGAATTCTGAGATTAAAGTAAGAATTCTGAGATCAAAGTCAGAATTAAGAGATTAAAGTCAGAATTCTGAGAAAAAAGTCAGAATTCTGAGATTAAAGTCAGAATTCTGAGAAAAAAGTCAGAATTCTGAGATTAAAGTCAGAATTCTGAGAAAAAAGTCAGAATTCTGAGATTAAAGTCAGAATTCTGAGAAAAAAGTAAGAATTCTGAGATCAAAGTCAGAATTAAGAGATTAAAGTCAGAATTCTGAGAAAAAAGTCAGAATGCTGAGATTAAAGTCAGAATTCTGGGATTAAAGTAAGAATTCTGAGATCAAAGCCAGGGTGCTGCAGCAAGAGCGACCTCTGCTGGGCAAAAAGCTTACAGCACTAATAAAAAACTAATACGTTCAGAGTGATTTAATGAATTAATGAATTAATTGGTAAAAAAAATAAAAACAATTTTCATTGAGATCACTAAGTGCGGTAGCAGCCATTTTTAACCAAATATAGTAACCCCTCCCTCCTGCCATCTTCCAACAGTGACGTCACGGTGCGGTAAGCCTAGCGCCATTCTCCCCGCTTTACAAGCAAAATCAAAGGGAACTACTAGACACATCTGCAATCAACAACAATTATTGAAGATTTCCAGAGGACTTCACCATTGAAATTCACCAGAGCTATAGTGAAACTGATATCTGCCATTACAATATATAACCATCATTCTTCATGACAGCAGTGGTCTCTTCATTTGTTCCGTGGCTTTATGTACTGTCTATATATTATGAAATATATCTTTGAAAATATACAACTAGGGAAAATATACTTTTAAAATAAATTACATGGTGCAAATATGACAAATGCAAATATTTGTTACATGTATTATGGCTTTGTATTTATGATATTAGCAATAAGTACATTCATTTTAATCCATTTCAAAACCAACTATTTTTAAATTCATCATTTCATATTCATTATTATTGTACATTTATGTATTAACTATGATTTGTGTGTATTACATAATATTTTAATATTTAGAGTACTTGTAAATGAACTAATAAAGTAAAAAGTTACCAAGTATTAGTTCATAACATCTCAAATCGACTCCAGATGTTCCTGCCCCAAATCCTCTCATGATGGATTATTTACAAACTGAAAATCAGAATCAGAAATACCTTAATAATCCCAGAGGGAAATTACTTTTGTTACACGCATCAGTTACAGTTTTATATATATATATACACGCATCCAACTACACAATAAAATAAAGATAAAAAATAAGAATAGAAAGAGATCAAATATGTATGTATATCTATGCATATGTAAAAACTAAATCCGAATAAAGTGAATATCCAACTAAAGTGATAAATCCAAGTAAAGGGTTACGTGGTGTGCAAAAATAGTGCATAAATGTCATAAACCAACTGTAACTAACAGAGGACAGTTTAAGGTAAAAGATGAGCGACTATTGGTCTTCAGTCTGTTGTGATATCTGTACAACATGTATGTTTCCTGTCCTGAAGCCTGTCTAGTTTCTTACAATGGATCGCTGCACATCTAAACACATGTGACAGTGGTTATTCTGCAAAGATATCCATATGACAATATTAAAACTATGAAGTTGAATCACCTGACTGCACCGCTCACCCGTAGAGATCTGTGTGTGTGTGTGTTGTGTAGTAAATGGCTGCCAGTCTTAAATCCTAATCTATATTTTCCATGTTTTGTTCTAGGTTACGACGACAGCGATGGACAGGAAAATCCATGAATGCGATGTGTGCCACAAAAGGTTCACTGAGAAGTCGAACCTGACGCGGCACATGAAGCTTCACGGTCCGAAGGAGCACAACTGCAGCGTGTGTGGGAAGGTCTTCAGCACCAAGCCCCTGTTGTGCAGCCACATGAAGACCCACCAGTACCTCAGCATCCCTCTGTACAAGCAGGGCCAGGCACGGCTGCAGTGCAGCGATGCAGCCACGGCTGTGGCACAGGCATCAAGCAAGGTGGTGGACCGGACCTGGCTGGATCCCCAACAGGCAGAGGCAGCTGCAAAGAAGACCAGCGGGGAGCTGTGGAGAGGCCAGCTGGTCATCAGCTTCGGTTAATACGCCGGACAATCTTTCCGATGGCTGCTGGAGAACGATGTTGGCTGGGTTGTGTGGCTGCTGGCCGAGTATCGCCAGAAGGGTGAGAGGAGCGAGCAGCTGAAGTGGCAAAAGGAGCGCATGCTGGAGTATGTGCAAGACTTCCCTTCTGTCACCTGCCACCTGGACAGGAAGATGAAGGTATGCTCATGTTTTTAGTCCACACAGGTGTCGTTCATAGCTAAGTTGTGTGTGAGCATCGTGCACCATCTTACTCTAAGTATTTTCCCCATAAAAACATAGCAGCTCCATCTGCCTCCACCTCCCAGCTCCAGCATGACCCTTACTACGCCAGTGATGCAGAGCTGTTGGCTGCTGCCGGTAATATTTCATGCTGATGTGAACATGAGACATGCTGTGTTGTATCTTTGTGATATGCTGAATTTATTATCACATCACATTTCAAGCAATCTACTTAATGTCATGCCTTTTCTGTCTGTGTCTTGTGTTTTGCAGAAAGTCTCCTGGATGAGTCGGAGGTGTCGGTCTCCACCCAGCTCACCACCGTGGGAGAGCTGGCTCCATCCAGCAGCCAGCCGGCGGCGGCGTCCCAACAGCTTCCCTCTGCCTCTGCCGGCATCCTGCTGGATCTCTGATGGGTACGTTTTTCTTTCTATAGTTTCTTCTTGTGCAAATGCTGCAAAGCTGCCTCTCTGACAATCAATCTCACACATCTGCGACTCAGCACCTGTGTCTTAATACCTTTCCTGTGATAATGCCCCTCTAGAAGTAGTGTTATCATTCTTCTATCTCCTATTAAGTGAAATCTCATTGTACGATGTATTTCTAATATGAACTGTTTCACATGAAACACTTACTATACTTACTATTCTCACCAAACTGTGATAACTGTGATTAAATTCAGTGTAAACAAATGTCATATGTTGCCACACCTCAGAAATTCCTGCCTCCCTCTCACCATCCCATAAATATTTTTCTAGATCCGCCCCTGTTAATGTCTAAATGTTTTATTTAAAGCACTTTTTATTACATCAGCTCATCATTTTTGCTTCTTTTTTACTATCAGCACTGACAGAGCATGTGAATATTCCACTTATCTAATCTAATCTATTGCAATTTTATTTGTAATCATACATGTCTGAGTTTTTCCATATTGTATAAATTTACCTCAGAAATCTGTGCAGAATCAGGAGAAGTGACCGTGCTCTCCACTGTGTCTTCCAGGAGACCGCCTCTGTCATCGAGTCCATCCTCGCTGACTTCAAGGGGCCAGCAGGTCTAGACATAGACAGCATCCCCCTCTTCAAGTCTGCAGAGGCCGTGGATTCGCACTCTGCGACAGCGAGCAAACATCTTGGATGCATGCAGGTGGGTTGGTGTCTAACATTCATCATGTGTCCAGACCAACATGCTGACCACGCCAGGCTAAGAGCCATGCTATGTGTTTTCCAGGATCCCCCTGGCATCCAGCTGTGTGTGGCTGTGAAGACGGTGGTGCTGAATGGCGTGCAGCTGAACAAGTACAGGTGCCGGCGTGGCAGCAACTGTCTGGAGGGGCTGCATGCACACCTGTACAACGCCATCCCCTCCAAGAGATGCGGGATCATGCCATTCCAAGTGAGTTTAAAAAAGGAAACAAGCAAATGTTCAGTGTTTTTTAAAACCATTTATCACATGCAGCAACTCATCAAACATGTTTGTGTTTCAGGTGTACCTCATTGCATTTACCGTGCAGTGGAACACCCGCATGGAGGCCCTCCGGGTTGCTGGTAGTCAGGGACGGCAGACGACGTGCATGGACCCCCGGCAGATCCAGCGCATGAACCAGCAGGCTGAGGTTCTCTTTGGCAAGGAGCACGTGCCGGAGCCCAACTTTGCTGCTCCCCTTCCATACCCTGAGCAGTACCAGGACCCAGAGGAGGAGGAGCTGCTTGGGGTGGAGTACGCCCTGTGCCAGTCCACTGCCTTCACTGCAAGGCAGTACTACGCCCAGAAAGGTAAGGCATATTTAATCACACACACACACACACAAGGAAGCAATCTCACCTCTCCTAACTGCTTCGGCACGTGGGACTCATCATCACAGTAATGCTATGTTTGCAGCGGAAGACGAGCAGTCCCATCAGGAGGAGGAAGAGGACTCTGCAGCAGCTAATGAGAGGATGGAGGAGGAGGAGCTGCTGGATGAGGGTGTGGCCATGGAGGAGGAGGACCCCATAGACGGCGTCTGCAAGCAGCACGCCGTCCTCACCCAGGCAGTGGAGGTGAAGGAGGAGGACAGCCCAGCTCTGCAGGACGTGCTCATGAGCCAGCGGCATCTGCACCTTCCTGGCATCGTGGAGGTGGAGGCCCTGGCCGTGCTGCTGCTGGAGCTGACGGATGACAGCGACCACCACCACCTCGTGCCGGTCGCCCTCCGGCAGAAGATTGTCACCGCTGGCTCTCTCCACGAGCATGACAAGACTGCCACCAACTTTGTGAAGAAGTACGAGTCCAGGTGGGGCTACACCCTCTTTGGCCGATGCCTGGGGCCGGAGACCCCCGAGAACTCCGCCGCTCAAAAGACAAAGTTTGGCTGGATGAGGCACCCGCAGGCTGCACAGGTGACAGGACAGCCGTCTGCTCTACCTGCTCGTTAAGATGCTCCATCTGATAGACTAAAATATTGACTCTTTGTTGTTTTACAGCTTTGTTTTCATTATAATTGCAATATGTAAATAATTTTTTATTTATTTTACTCTATATTTAATATTTCTTAGATGTTTTTAGCTATGTATTTATAATTTGTCATATAAGTATCCTATCCATTTTTTCTACAAATGTTTTATAGCTTCTTATTTATAATATTTAACTACATGTAAATTATTTTTCATTTGTTTTCCTCTTTATTATTTAAGTTTTTTAGATGTCTAATAACTTAGTATTTATATTTGCTAGATGTAAATTGTTTGTCATTTAGATGAACACATTTGTCATATTTGTCTAAAGTTTTTTCCCTCAATATTTTTATTTATTATATTTATAGCTTTGTATTTATAATATTTTGCATATGTAATATCTCATTGTAATGTTTTAGTCTACATATTATTAGATATTTATTAGATGTTTTATATGTTTGTATTTAAATAATTTGCTATGTGTAAATAATTTATGTATATTGTTCTATCCGTATATTAATAAATATTTGTTCAATGTTTCAATGTTTTGTATTTGTATTTTTTATGCAAGTTGTATAATATTTTCCAAGCAAACAGTTTTTTTTAGTCTTCAGATTATCTAAGTTTTATATATATTAAATTCTATATGAATATTTATAGTAAATAAATATTGTAACAGATGTATGTAACCTTTTCACATTGATATTTGCAATTAATAATACAAATCTTTATGTTTTAAAGTGTCTCCTCTTAGTGAAATACATAAAGAAGTAATCAGAAAACAGTGTTGACCTAAGAAAAAAGGAGCAAAATTCTTTCAAATGAAAAAGCACTGTTCCTCGACCTGGCCAGCAGGTGGCAGAGGTGTGAAATGATCAGACCCAGGTTTTTGCTCAACTCCAGGATCAAGAATAAGTACTTGGGGGGGTCATGAGCCATTCCCAGGCGGTCTGCCATCCAAGTACTAACCAGGCCCGACCCTGCTTAGCTTCCGAGATCAGACGAGATCGGGCGTGTTCAGGGTGGTATGGCCGTAAGCTGCTGGTGCTCAGCCAAGCAGCCTATTTCTACAGCATAGAGCAGCACGCTGGACTTCTCTTTCTAGCTTTGCTCTTTTCACCTGCTGCTTTTGTGGTTGGACTCGGTACTGCACCAACTTTTTGTTCTCCACATACCAAAAGAAATTGTTTTTTTAAGATGATGTACAGTTAATTTTGAAACTGTTACCATTCGTTACAAATAAGAATTCTGACTTTAACCTCAAAATTTTGGATCTTAATGTAGATAGGCACCATGAAGGAAGAGATGTGGAGCACTCAGCTTCACTGACAAAGATGTGAGTTGTTTTTATTTTATTTATTTATTTTTATTTATTTTATTTGATCATTTATTTCGAACACTTAATAAAAAGCAAATATAAGTAAATTATTAAAGTCATACAAAACAAAACAAACAAAAAAGAAGAAAAAGAAAAAAAAAACATATGTACATCCCATCATGTTCGAAAAGGAGTAGGAAGAAGTAATAAAACTTATTAAATCCTACCCCTGTTCTATATTAACATCTACCTATGTTTAAGCATACATACATATCCATATATACACACACACTCACCCATACATATATACATATATATATATATATATATATACATACATACACATACTCACAGATACCTATACATATATATACACACATGCATACTTACACATACACCCGTATCTCAAACACATACACACATACATGCATATACATACACACCCCAATTACTATAGACAGTATACACATATCTCTATCTACAGGTGCTGGCCATAAAATTAGAATATCATGAAAAAGTAGATTGATTTCAGTAATTCCATTTAAAAAGTGAAACTTGTATATTATATTCATACATTACATACAAACTCATATATTTCAGATGTTTATTTTGTTTAATTTTGATGATTACAAATGACAACAAATGAAAATCTCAAATTCATCATATCAGAAAATTAGAATATTGTGAAAAGGTTCAAAATTGATGGCCCCTGGTGCCCCACTCTAATCAGCTAATTAACTCAAACCACCTGCAAAAGCCTTTAAATGGTCTTTCAGTCTAGTTCTATAGGCTACACAATCATGGGGAAGACTGCTGACTTGACAGTTGTCCAAAAGACGACCATCGACACCTTGCACAAGGAGGGCAAGACACAAAAGGTCATCGCTAAAGAGGCTGGCTGTTCACAGAGCTCAGTGTCCAAGCACATTAATAGAGAGGCGAAGGGAAGGAAAAGATGTGGTCGAAAAAAGTGTACAAGCAAGAGAGATAACCGCACCCTGGAGAGGATTGTGAAACAAAACCCATTCAAAAATGTGGGGGAGATTCACAAAGAGTGGACTGCAGCTGGAGTGAGTGCTTCAAGAACCACCACACACAGACGTATGAAAGACATGGGTTTCTGCTGTCGCATTCCTTGTGTCAAGCCACTCTTGAACCACAGACAGCGTCAGAAGCGTCTTGCCTGGGCTAAAGAGAAACAGGACTGGACTGCTGGTGAGTGGTCCAAAGTCATGTTCTCTGATGAAAGTAAATTTTGCATTTCCTTTGGAAATCAAGGTCCCAGAGTCTGGAGGAAAAGAAGAGAGGCACTTCATCCACGTTGCTTGAAGTCCAGTGTAAAGTTTCCACAGTCAGTGATGGTTTGGGGTGCCATGTCATCTGCTGGTGTTGGTCCATTGTGTTTTCTGAGGTCCAGGGTCAACGCAGCCACATACCAGGAAGTTTTAGAGCACTTCATGCTTCCTGCAGCTGACCAACTTTTTGGAGATGCAGATTTCATTTTCCAACAGGACTTGGCACCTGCACACAGTGCCAAAGCTACCAGTACCTGGTTGAAGGACCATGGTATCCCTGTTCTTAATTGGCCAGCAAACTCTCCTGACCTTAACCCCATAGAAAATCTATGGGGTATTGTGAAGAAGAAGATGCAATACACCAGACCCAACAATTCAGAAGAGCTAAAAGCCACTATTAGAGCAACCTGGGCTATCATAACACCTGAGCAGTGCCACAGACTGATCGACTCCATGCCACGCCGCATTGCTGCAGTAATACAGGCCAAAGGAGGCCCAACTAAATACTGAGTGCTGTACATGCTCATACTTTTCATGTTCATACTTTTCAGTTGGCCAACATTTCTATAAATCCTTTGTTTTTATTGGTCTTCAGTAATATTCTAATTTTCTGATATGATGAAATTGAGATTTTCATTTGTTGTCATTTGTAATCATCAAAATTAAACAAAATAAACATCTGAAACATATGAGTTTGTATGTAATGTATGAATATAATATACAAGTTTCACTTTTTAAATGGAATTACTGAAATCAATCTACTTTTTCATGATATTCTAATTTTATGACCAGCACCTGTAGTTAGAGAAATAACGTTCTGCAACCTGATTTTTATCATCTCAAAATCAGCATTGCAGCTATGTTATAAACATTATGCTTTCATTATGATTTAATTTCTCGATAGATAGTTAATCAATTTTTACCTGTTTCATCCCGTGTCTCCTCTCCCCATGACCCCTGGATCTCTCGCTATGCTCCATTCGGCTTTCAAAACAAATCAGTCTCAGTCGCTCTGTTCCAAAACCTGGGCTGCATCCTCCAAGGACGCGGTCTACCTAGATTGGATCCTCTGAAGTCCGTGAAAATAAGGAGACCGGAAGTGTTTTGGCTGTGAATCCGAACAGGTCTACCCTTCGGCGGGTTCTGTTGCTTAGCAACCTTGAACGTTGACACACAAAGCAGGAAAAGAATGAAAACCGAAGTTTTGAAAACTATTTGTTTATTTTTATTTTTTATTATTATTATAAAATGAACAAAGACTCACAAGAATCCAGAGTGGAATAAATGTTCCAACTATCGGGATCAGGAACAAATAAAATCAAATGTAATGATAGAAACCTTAGTCAATTAAATAACATGCTGCTGTCATTCTGCACATCTCTGATGTTGCTGCTATTTTTAAATATCCATTACTGTAAAAATGTCCATAGCTGCATGGTGGTTATTTATTCTCCAGTTTTATATTATTAAAACACTTTACAGTATTTGAATTTTCTTGTTTTTTTTTTATTTTAATTCTATGCTGGATCATGACAAGAATTCGTCCATTCTTCTCTTGAAACATTTAATAAATCCTCATCTTTATATTCTCTGCAGGTTTAGTCCTTCTTAGCGTCTGTAACAAACTCAATAAGAAGATCACAGAATCAATGAGCGCCGTGACTGATTAATCCATTTATTCATTGTCATGTACAAATTGTATTTCAGTTGTACAAAGCTGCTGTAAGACTCCACTGCGCCCCCTCATGGTGTCTTTATTGCAGTAAAAATAAGAAAAGAAAAAAAAAAGAAATACCAGCATGATCAATAGTGGAGAAGTACTTTGGCAAATATAAATAATGTGTTGAGAAGGCAAGCAAGACATCTTTAGCAACATAATGTGAGAAAAGACAACGGTGCAAAGGTATCAACGAGTAACTTTCATCATCCGCCGATAATAAAAAAAAAACAAAGGAATAAAAATCCATTAAAATATTTTATTCTAAACAACAGTTAAAAGAGGCGGACACAGGAAGAACACGGATCTTCTCCCTCTTTCCGGTACTATTCAGGCTGCAGGTTCCTTACTCCAAATGTGTAGCTGTGTGTTTTTATGTGGGAGAGGAGTTGGGACGTGTTTACATGTAGTGTGAGAGTTCATGCCTTTAAATACATGTAAAGATTTCATTTAAGGTCTACAGAGTGTTACCTTCTTCCTACTGCTGACTCAGGCGAACAACATGGACGACTAACAACATTTGGCAAAAAAAAAAAAACATCCCGCGAGGTAAAATGTGGGCGAACGTGACTTATTCCATGTGTCCTTGTCTTTGTCCTGCACTAAAAGTTCACTCCAACTGGCACAGGAGGAGAGTTTATGGCGGGAAGACGAAGAAAGCAAAGAAAACAAAACAGAGAGCTGTAGAGCGAAATTACATGACAGACACGGCTGCCAGGCGTCTGACGACGGGGTGACGAACTGGAGATGGGACAGAGCTGAAGAATCAGAGGCGGGGGGGGGAGAAATGACGAGGCAGTCTGCCCAGGAGACTCATTTCAGAGGTATTGTTGTAAAAAGTGCAGCAGCATTATCTCGTAGTGCTCTCCGGATTCGGGGCAGCGAATACTGTGCCGCTCGTTGGGGTAAACCTGGAAAAACAGAATAAAAAAAAAACAGAAAAAGGTTACAGAGGGGTCTAAAAAACAAACAGAACAGGAAAATAAACGAATCAA